GTACAGACGCTTGTACACCGCTTGCTGAACGTATTTCGATGCAAAGACAAAGTACTCGTTGTCAAAATTTTTGTTGACACGATAATGCAGCAATCCAAACCCTAGCCTATAATTCAAAATTTATTTTTATATATATTTATATATAGAGAATATTATTTGCAGACACGGCACATCACAAAATAAATTTCATATTTAAGATATAATTGAGTCATTGTATATACAATGAAGTCTCAAACGCTTCAACGCGTACAAGAATTAAGCATTCCCGTCAAGAAATGGGGACAATCAGATTATAGAGTAAAGGTTAGAGCTGCTAGAAATCGTTTAACCTATACTTCAAAAATTACAACACCAGAAAACATAAAACTTGTTGCTGAACATTATAACATGAACGAAGACGAACAAAGTAATTACCTACTTGAAGAAAGAAAAGAAGCAAAATATGTAAGGAAAAGCTCTGTTTTTATTGAATCTCATCTATACGAACACATTGACCCAAATGACTTTTACAATAAACTAGAAGAAATCCTAAAAAAGCAGAATAAATCATATAAAGTAAACGCTCAACTGGGTTATACGTTGATTGATGACAGATATGGAGATGAACCATTTGAATATTATTACTCTCCTGACAGTACATCTTTGACAAACCCATACCAATCAATTCAAAAGCTGACGTTAATTCCAAAATCATAGATCATTTACAATCGGAAAATTTTACAGATAAAATTAATCGACCAAGATCTGGAGTTAAACTTAAAGAAATTACTGCATTTAAGATTATGATATTCAAACGTGCACATAAACTAGGCGATCCAGATATAGTCATTCCAGAAATAATAAAAAAAACATCACTACATCATAAACTTCTCAAAAACAGAAAATAAATGCATGTTCCATTGTATTGCGTATCATTTACAAGATAACAAAAAGAAAGATCATAGATACATTCAATCTTAGTGAAAGAAGGATTCAAGGAATACTGTGTATTCAAAGGTATCAATTACACTTTGAAATTGTTTAGAGAGTTCGAAGGAATTGATATATTCAACTTTGAAGAACTAGAAAATTGTTTCAAACTAACTATCAACGTATATCAAATGGAGACTGAAACGTCAGATGTTTCACAAATCAGAGAATCTACCAAAAACTATTATAACGTTGTGAATATTCTTGACTATAAAGGTCACGCTCTCTATATTACGGATTTGAACAAAGTGTTGGGTAAATATCCGTGTCCGAAATGTGATATTGTATTTACTACATGTATTAGACTTCGAGATCACAAGAAGAATAAATGTGAGAACAAAACCTTCGAAACATTTGCCAAGACCCCTACGATGTACAAACCAAAAGAAAATGACATAAAGAAGTTGATTGAATACACTGGTTTAAAAGATCTCAGCCACTATCTCGATCACTTTATCGTCTATGATTTTGAAGCTATTCTTAAACCAACTCAAATTCAGAGAGGAGATAGTACAACGTTCGATAATGAACATATTCCAGTATCTGTATCAATCTGTGATTCATTCACCATGGAAGTTAAATGTTTCGTCAACGAAAATCCTACGAGCTTACTTCAAAAGATGTTCGATTATATCGTAGAGGTATCTAATAAGATCTATAACAATCACAAACACAACACATTCAAACCATTATATGATGTTCTTACTCGTAAGATGGAGTATAACTCAACAGCGAAGCAGCTAGATAAATTAGACGAATTACTGAAGCAATTTCTCGTCTTAGGATTCAACTCCGGAAAATATGATATCAACCTGATCAAAAAAGATTTGTTCGATGTCATCGGATCCGACAATATCAAAATGGTTATAATCGTGTATATCAACGTCTAATTTCAGAATGTTAGATATCACAAATTACCTTCCAGCTAAGCATTTTTTATCTCCGATCTTACCGTATCACAGTATGGACAATAACTTTTGCTAAAGACCGTGACAACATTTTCTGTCGTCACTCGGTCAACAAAATCCGCCGCCGCCTCAGATTCTTGCGAACATGCTGCTCCCATCGAAATGATTGTGTTGATGTTCGTAACAATCCATCAACTTGTAGT